CTCACCACCTCTTCACTTCTTTTTCCTCCATTTTGTTGCTGTAGGTGAGGCTGCAGGAAGACCGGTGAATGCAGTCTGCCGTGGCCACACAAGGAGTCGAGGTGACATGGCTGTGAAAAAGGACAAGGATTTATGGCAGTGTGCAGTCACTCAATTTAAGATCTGTTTTGATCCTGAAGGTTGGTTTAAAATGAACTAGTGTGGTTTAATTAAAAGGAACTACTCTGGATGGTTTTTCATTGTCACTGATGGGATTAACAAAGAAGAATTTAAATTTCCTATGTGAATTGAGAGTACCGCTTGTTTTTATAGAATATTTATCTTGCTTTCAGAGGTAGTGTCAAAACAGGAAACTGATACTAGTTAGATTAAATAGTTCAGAAGGATTATTTCAATTGTTTGCATGGACAGCTGAACACTAAATTTATATAGTAACCTTAAATTGAAATTTTAACATTAATCTAACGTTACGATTCAACAAAACAAGCATGTTACATGATAGAACTGGAATAATCTGTTTCCACATCAGTTTTCTACCTTAAGCGCTCTTAGGCTGCCACCTTTGCCATTGTGGTCAAATCATTTTATGTTCTTTTAAAAATGCTGTAAAGCTTCTCAGAACTTACTGGAAAGTATTAGTTTTATAACTATTATGTAGTTTTTTAAAATCAACATATTGAATTGCATATCAGGAATCTGTCCTAAAGCTATGTAAACTGTTAGGATAAGTTTTAAATAATTACTGTAGAAACCTGTTGATTTCATTCTTGCTAATTTTCTTAAGAGAGCTTTGCATATTATAATTGCCAGAGAAGCAAATTTAAAAATATACAGAATAAATCAGTTCTTCTGCATGTGCAGCCTCGTGGAGATTAGCTTTCCTGCTTGTAAGCTGAATGTGCTATACTTGAAAGAGGTGGGAATGTGTTACCACAGGTGAGTAAGGGCTAGAGGGCTGAAGCGGGGAAGTAAGCATTCTCGCCGCATGTGGATAGGGAACGTGTGCACGAGAATAGCCTGATATCGTAGGGTCTGCTCTGCATCTCAGATGACTAAAATACAACTATAATTGTGCCTTCTATTTTCCTGCAAAACCCATATAATTAAGGGCATGCCCTCCTCCTTCTAGAGAAAGAATTCCCCTAGAATCTCCTTGAAAATTTAATTTTAGGAACCCGCAAAGAAAGTAAAATATATTGTAAAAATAACTCTTTTAATGCATATGCATAATAAATCTTTTTTTTTGAGTAAATGTTTATGTAGCAACTTGTCTGCTATCCATGAACTATTTTAAAATCTTCAAAACATAGTGTAGAACAGAAAGCAGCGTTCTGTATTTTATTACTTGGTTGTAGGAGCATGCAGAGTTGATCAAGGCTAAGGCTGCTTGAGCAAGTGTCATAAGCATGCAGAAACACAATACTAATTCAAAAAGTCTGCAAACTTGGATCATTTTATATTAGGCAGAACTGTCATATGGAGATTGCTGCTGCATTAGGATGCTCAGGTCATGCTCTGCAAAAACTTATGCATGTTGAATAACTTCATTCACGTGCACAATTCGATTAAGTCTGAAAACCACTTCTTACCATATTCTTATTGCAAAGAGTATGCTACCATTTAGAGAAGCTGGAAAAACCATTTCCTCTGAGAATCAGTTTAATTTTTTTATGTAAATTGCAATATTTCTTAAACTTATTTTCAGGTAAGATCAGCAGTGAAATGTGCAGCAAGCACTAAGATGGAAAATGATAGATGTGGTATTCACTAAAGTACAAATGTGATCAACTGAAATTCATTAGTGAGTTGTATGTTGAATAGTTTAGCTGCAAACATTTTCTTGGGTGGAGGGGCTAGAATCACCAATGGCAATGATGTTTTCTCCCCTTCTGCCCAGAAGTGAGATTAAATTGGAGATGGGTTCATTTTCCTGCTTTGAGGAGATTTTAACCCTAGAACTCAGATGTCCTTCACGTAGCAGACTGTCGCAAACAAGAAGTTAACAGCATCTTATTGCTTCCAGTATTTAAGTATTTCGTACACAGTGGGATGGTCCTACCAGAGAGACGGAAGTAGGTGGCTCTCTGAGAAACTTGTGTGCTGGGGGAGAAGGTGGAGCGGCATATGATGCAGTACTGGTCATGGGAAATCCCAGTTCAGATCCTAGTTTCAAATGGAGCACAGAGTGGGTTTGACCAGTTTTCAAAGCTAAAGTTTAAAAATGGTCCTGGTGGTTCCTGTCTCTGTGTCATGTGTATTTACTGATAATTTATCAGTATTTATCAGCCTTGTGCTCTGGTGAAGGTGGATTTGAGGTGAGTGTCCTAAGCAGAAGGCAATCAAACTGCAACGTGGATGACTGGCAGAGTCTAAAATTAGAACTTTTTGTTTTCCTTTTCTTTTCTTCCTGTTCGTATAAGAGCCCTGAAACCATGTTGCATTTTTGTCACTGCATGCCTGAAAAAACATGTTCATCTATCACCTCTGTGCTTCTGAAGTCCCTTCTACAGCCTGTGAAGTCTATAAATCCCAGCCTGCTCCATTCTAATCACTTTAACTTCAAAGAAGGCAGATCAAGTTCAATTTTTTGAGATTATTTTCAATTCTCTGTTTATTCCAAGTTTTACATTCCCTCTGTACAACTCTTTTCAGACATTCTTGTTTTGGCTAATCTGCATAGTACATATGTGCAGCATGTTGGAAAACCTGTCTGTATGTCTGACAGAAGCTTACAGCTTCCCAGCAAGTGCAGGGGACTTCTAGATCGATCCATTCAGAGAAGATGGCACCCTCAGAGCTGGCAAGAGTGATACTTGCTTTGGTTCAACCCCACGCCCCTAGCCAAAAACACTTGCAAACTCCAGAGCTATAAAAACAATTGCAGGCACTTAAACCCCCAAGATTTAGGAAGTATTTCTCTTACATGCCTCTCACATTTATTTTGTCTTTAGATTTTGATTACATTAGGAAAAATGCAGTTCTCTTTGTTCTTAATGATACATAATTAACATGCTAAAGGCTATAATTAAAACAGAGATTTTAGCTTAGCCCATGTTTTGGGCAAAACCGTCATGACTTCTTAAAATACATTCGAACACGTTTGCTTAAATACTGCTTGAGATAAGTCCTCAAACTTAGAAACACTCCAGGAATTTCCAGGGAGATTTATAATACACCTTAGCAGTAACTAAGGCTCAGTTCTAAGTATTTTGTCATGTGTGTAATCTTACTGAGGGTGATAGAAGTTTCCACGGTAAAGATTTTAAGCGGCCTTGTCGATATATAGAATGCCTTGGGGAGCAAAGTTAGCATAAAATAGTTCAAAATAATTCACAGAGGATTTTCCTGTCTCCCAGTTGGAGCAGAATGAAAATTAATAAAATGACAAATGAAAATCTGTCGAAATTCTTTCTTTCTCTGCAACTTCTTGTCACGCAAATGTATGGACGTGTAGTGACCCTAAATGCAAGTACATCACAGAATGCAGGAAATAAAAGAGCATCAGCATGGCAGATACATACCAAGTGTATGCATGATACTTGAGAGATACTTGAGATACTCTTCATACTTGGGAGATGAAATAGGAATAAAATGAAACTAAGTCGGGGCACAGTCATGGAATTAAAATAATTAATTTTTGGTAACTTAAAGGCTTAACCAAGTTGCCAGGCATT